GAGGCAGGAGCCTCCTGAGGACAGATGGGACTGGCCACATCCTCAACCTGAGCCGTCCTTCCAAAGACTGTTCAAGAACAATCTCGCTGGCCTGAGTGAGGTCTGCCCAACCTGATACCACCCACTGCCTTGCCCTGGAGGACCCTGGGCTTTGTGCTCCACTCCGCAGCCCTCACTAACCAGTGCCCAGGCCCCAAACCAGCCCATGGTGCAGTGAGGGAGGGTCTTCCCATTTGCCCACCTTCCAGGGCACTCAGGGGCACACCCAGAGAGCTCTGTTCTACCTTCCTCTTCTCCTGGGGCCCTTGACAGACCCCTTTACATGCCAGCCATCTTGGGAGCTTGTAGGACAGGGGCTAGTGGCCTTGCTGCTTCCAACTACAGTCGTCTCACAGTACTATTGATCACAGGCTCTTGTCATCAACGCTCAAGTGAATTTGATGATCCCTAGGTGATTTGGGGTCAATATAGCCAGAGTTTGTCAGTCATAAGCCTGGGTCCTGACCTCAGCTCTGCACTTGAATAGCTGTGCATCTGTGAGCAGCTTCCTGCCTCTCTCTGGGCCTCAGTTCCCCCCTCTGTACAATGGATGGGAGGGAGGCAGCAGGAGTCACTCCTCCCCTCTCAAAGGGCCGTAGGGGCAACCTTCCAGCTACACTTTGCTTCAGACCTGGACTCTCTCTCCACTTGAAAGTCGCCTCATGCACCAGTGGCTGAACTGCCTTTGGGGGACAGGGCATCTAGTCAGAGAGCTCTTGAAGTTCACCCATCCCTAAATGCACCCCTCCCGGGATGGTGGTGTCCCAGCTTGGAAGTGAGCCTGTGGCCTAACATTTACCCAGTGTCTCCATAAGCCCTATGGGGCCCCAAGCCAGGCCTACCCAGGGTAACATGGCATAGTTGCTTGAGTTTCTCTCTGCCCCACCCCAATTCTGAGTCTCAATCCACAAGGTTCTGGGGAGATGGCATTGAGCCACCCAGGCAGCCCCACCCAGAGCCTGGAGGCCAAGGTTCCATGGACTCACACCTCGCCCAGAAGGAGATAGAGGCAGGGCATTAGCCTGTGGGTAAGCGAGGGATATCTGGGCAGGGTGCCTGGGGCATGCCTGGAGAACCAAGTCTCTGAGCCCCTGCCAAAGACTGGGCACCTGGGCCAGGTGAAAAACTCTGAGCAAGTAGGCTTGCCTGCCAGAGCAGGAGAGCAGAAAACAGAGAGAGGCCAGTGGGAGTACAGGGTGCACCCAGGGCCTTGCAGTGAAGGGAGAGGGCCATTGGTGGACCTTGGGTGCCAGTCACCCAGCCATGCCTTGGTGATGCTCTGGGGCAGCAGCCAAGGACAACAACCTGAAGGGGAAAGGCAGACAAAGCAGACATGGAGCTGAGCTGAGCTGAGCTGAGTGAGATCAGAGGGGAGAGGGAAAGTGGGTGGAGAAGGTGCCTGGAAGAGCAAGGGGAGCAGAGACAGAACTGGGACAAGGACCAAGGGTACCACAGGGTGGCGACTAAGGGGCACAGACCAAGAGCCTGCAGCAGTGCCCTGGGAATTCACAGGCATCCTGGGGGCAGGAGAGGGTGGTAAGGGGGCAGCAGGGACAGGGATAGTGACACAGAAGGGAGGCATGGGTGCAGCAAGGTCAGAGTCTGGGAATTCTTGAGAATGGTGAAGGGGTAACAGAACCAGGGATGAGACATCCAGGGCAGCTGAAGGCAATGTAGGGTGCGGGGACAGTGAGTGGCTGGAGTGGGTCCCTACCTGAGGAGGGGAAGCGCTGGGTGCAGTCTGGCTAGTTGGCAGGCTTGGGTGTCCTGCAGTCCGTGTGTCTGTCTGTTGGGCTGTCCAGAGCAGTTGCTCACTCCTGGGCAGTTCGTGGAGAGAGGGAGACAGAGGCGGTGGGAGGGAGGCTAAAGGCT